ACGGACGATGTGTATGTAGGTACTCGGAGTGGATGTTGTGTACGCTGAATGTAGAATGGTCGACGCGATCCACATTTGAATTATTCATGTTACGAATGCATCATGTAACCTGACCGCTGTTCACTTAACCGTTCCCTCCAAACCGACGCGGACGGCGCGCGTGTATTAGTATGCTGCTGTTTTATCTTTGCGCTAAAAATACTCCACACCATTTCGAATAGACAAGCGTCTTTATTTAGCCTCTCGCGAGCAACACACTCACACACATAGATATAGAGAGAAGTATAGCACATGAGCGGCACCTTCGCGTTTCTCTGCAAACGGTGTAAAAAGTCGCCGGCATTCGTGCACAACACAAGAACCAGCCGCAGACGCATATGTGTTTGTTTGGCCGGCCAAATGTTACGTTTTATCCTGTTCATGCCGAACAAAAATGGTGGATTTTTTTTCGGGTGTGTGTTTTGCATGTTTAGCATATTCGATTGCGACATTCAAACGCCGAGGTGTTCTACATCACGTTGAAATGTCGAATATTGCAAAACGGGCGCTATTTTGTTCCGAAAACACGCTTGCGCAAATGTTAAACACCAAAAACTATTCTTTTCATGCGTTTTCAAGCAGTTTTTGCTCGTTTCGCGTGCTTTTTTTCGTATTTTTAGACAGAGTTTAAAGTACAGATATTTACAGCTTCCAACACTCAGAGAAAATGGTTGCAATTGATGGATTTTCGCCCACCTGCACATGAAACATTTAGTTTGTTATTTTTAAACAAGATGGCGTGTTTTAAAACCTAACCTCTATTGAAAACTATCAAATTTTCATTGGAATAAATGCTTAGTGTATAATTGGTTGCATATAGTACACATAAATATTTTTAACTAAGAAATTGAAGCTTTTTTCATTCATTTCATCAAAATTTTTTCCAAAATTTAAAAAATTTACATTTTATTCTGTTTTTCTTCTTCGAATCAGTTCAAATTGATTAATATTTCATAATAAAAACAAATCCACATTACTTTTTCACCTACACAAGAAAAATCTACTTTCTTGCAATAAATTGTATTTTATCACAAGTGCGTGTTTAAAACCTAACCTCACTTAATAAATATCGAGTTTTCTTTGAAAGTAAAATTTAGCGTGAAATGAGTTGCATATAATACTCATATTTATACATAGACCGAGTTCGTTTTTCCATCATGATCTTGTTGTTTCGAATTGCAAGTTGAACATTAAAGTTCACTCCGCGCTTTCGCTCGCGCCGGAAACGACTTCATTGTTTTCAATTAGAAACTTTTCCGTTTTACGACTTCCTACTAATTTCGTATGATACGGCGAGGCGTGCGTGCCGTAATAACTTTTCGACTTCGCATCACTTCGCATCACATGTGCGCGTCCCGACGTCTTCTTCATTGGCTCAATTTTGTATTGTCGACGTGCGTTTTCGCGCGCGCGCTCGCTGTGCGCGTTTTTGTTGACGAGGGTTTGACACTTATATTATAGCGCTAAGTATTCCAATTTGCTATGCAATTAATTGTGGCTTGCGCACGCAATAAATACACAACACACACACACTGAAATACACAATTCGAGATGGTGAAATGGCAAAATAGCGCAACTCTCTTGAATAATTTATTCTCTGCGTTTAACATTTAACATTATGCTTCAACAAAACTAAGAACTCAGGGATTAAATTAGTTTCTTGTTATTTTACCTTGGATATTGTGTTTATTTATAAATGTTTGTATTTTGTTCCATTCAGGGGAAAATGTGGTAGAAATATTGATTTATTTTAATGAATTGTGTTATAAATAGCATATTTTTGTATTTATTTAGTAAAATATAATTTATTATGATTTTTTCTTATGAAAAATTGTTAAATTTCATAAGTAAAACTTACAATTTTTCATTTAAACTGAAATTTTTTTTTCCGTTTTAAATTTGCATAAAAACTGAAATATTTAGATAAATAACTTATTCAACTATAATTTAATATACTTTTTGCAATTATTGAATCACAAAGTCTTTGTTAATCGCTTCAATATGCAAGAAATCATTTTGCCTTCAAAATTAAATTTTTTTTCTATAAATTTCATTAAAATTTTTCCCAGAAATAAAATAAAATAATGAAAAATTGCATCATTTGTGATTTTTCTTCTCCGAATTATCCAAAAATAATTAATATTATTCAACAAAACCCAATCAACTCTATTTTTCGAGGAAAAATCTTGTTTGTTACCGAATATTCGTGGAAAAGTGCTGCGTGCGTCAAAATTTCGGCGCATATCGCATGAAACAATCTGCATCTAGCCCCGCGGTGCGTACATAAAGGTGCGGCACATATGCCATGTGCGCTCGGCGTGTTGTGTGTCGATTTTATGGAAATGAAAATGAAAATGACGCGCTTTGTTCGCGCGGCGGCGGCGCGCAGCATCCCGTTTCGCATTCAGATCGGCGGCGTGCGGGCGCGATAGTAACGACAGCGATGGCGGAAAATGTCGGTTGGAAAACCCATGGGGTCGGGCACGCGCAGTTCGCGGACTTCCATTTTAGGTGAACGGGCGCCGTGTGCCGCGCCACCACCCGCCACCACCCCGCGCGCACCACGTAAAATCTAATCGAAAGCGTAAATCGGAACGAACCGACTGGAAGTTTTGACTGAAAAAGCAAATGTGCAGAATGAATAACCGCCTGCCTCTCTCGCAACCCGCCGCCACCCACTGCGCCAGCGTGCGGATCTGCGTTTCGAGTGATGTATCGCCCAACTATGCGAGGCTTTTAATTGTTTTGTTGTTTGCGCAACTTTTTTTCTGCTGGCGGTGATAGCGGCCGGCGGACTAGTTTTAGTAGGGCGGATCACATTTTTCAAACATTGGGTAAATATTTTCACGATTTTCACCACTTCTGACACGTTATTTGGGAATTATAAATTTTTGAATTTTTTCCAGCGGGTTTTATGTTTTGATATTGCGTATTATTTATTTTTTTATGAAAAGGTTCTGAAAATGCATAAAATGCATAAAATAGAAAAAAATTAAGATATTAACAATTCTAGTGAAAATACAAAAAACACAACTAGGAAAACTCACTCAAAACTAAAAAAAAACACATTTTTTAATGAATTGTCAAATTGTTTGCAATTTTTTCGTTTTCAGCAAAAAATGTAAAATATTCATAAAATCGTAAAGAAAAATAATAAAAACATACGTAAAATATAAATAAATAATATTTTTATCATTTTTTCAAGCGTTATTAAGACTTTTTTGCGTAATATTTATTTTTGTAAGAAAAATTGCAAAAACACACGCAGATTGCGAAAAATTCAATTTTTCAACGTTTTTTCTTTTTCAAATTACTCTTTGCAAAAAGAAACTTGCAAAAAATGCATAAAATCTTTAAGCCCTAAAAGATGTAGGTAATGACATCTTAATGGTAAAAATACAACAAAACGCACCCATAAAAACTCACGCCAAATGAAAAAAACCTCGCGTACATAATGCACATAAAAGAAAGCAAAAATCTTTCCGCCGAGTGCTTAATTTAAATTAAAACTTCTGTGCGTCGAACGGCCGGACGGTCCTTTCGGCGCGTCTCGGAAAACCAATTAAAACTTTTAAGGCGAGCGAGTTTTTTGCCGCGCGCGTTCTCGCTCGGCGTGAGCGAGGTACAAGAGTAAGCAAATCACATTCGGAAAAATTACGGCCATCGCAGAATGGAACATCATTAATATTGATGCATGATGCATTGCACGCACACATGCACGCCTTGAAAACGCGATTGACCGAACATCGTATAAACAAATTACGGAACGGCTCGCGTGCGTACGTCATTAAAACAAATCCGCGTCGAGCATGTGCAAGCGTCGCGACGCGCGTACACATCAATATGGGCAAATAGTGAACGTTCGCGAAGCGCGCCTCCACTAAAAATAGAATCAGACTTTATACAGTTTCTATGGCGAGAGGCATTACGATGCCATTGATGTGCGATGCGCGTCCCGCTTTCAATGAGTACAGGAATTTATGAATTTCTCGCGAGCCTCGGCGCAAAATGAAATATTTTCAGATGTATAATATATATCGGCATGTTTCATTCCTTTAGATGTGATTGGAATAATCTTGGATAAAAACAAATTGATGAAAGTATGAAAATGTGAAAATTCTGTGTGTTTTTATCAAAAAATTTCAAAAAAATTAGAAAACTAGACTAAAAAAGTGTCAAATTTGAAAGAAAAATCAGTAATTTTGCGATTATATTAAAATATTTTGCTTTTTCCATTGTAGATCCACATAAAAACAGCAGTATTCAAATAAATAACTTATTTTAACGATATTTTAATTTATTTTTTGAGATTTTCGAAAAAAAAGAGAACTTAACTGTTTTTCTATAAATTTCACCAAAAAAATTTTCCAAAAATTAAATTATAAATTACTAGCTCGAATTGAAAAAAATTGTCAAAAATTTGTTCCCAAACTCGTAATTTTCTTTGTTTTCTCCATTTTAAGTCCCAAAAAATGATCAAAATAGATAAGCAATTTGCATATTTATACCTTGGCATACATTTTATTATTCCGAAAAGCTGAATTTGCATAATACGAGTGCAAAAACCCTAAAATTTGCAATAAAATGTCAAATATTTTGCAATTTTATTTGTTTTTTCAACCTAAATACTCAAAAAAACTATCAACTTTATAAGAAACTATTATAGTAATCCTTTTGCTATATATTTCATAACTTTAAACAATAAATTCCAATAGCTAAAAACCAAAAACTCTAAAATTTCCGAAAAAAATATCAAAAATTTGCTTTTTTCAAATTTTTCTGTTAACATTTTCACCAAAAATTGTTCCACACAGAATACGAGTATCTTACTTCTCATTATTACAAATTTTATTTCAACCAGTGTCCTTTATCGTGGGTTAAATAAAAAAGCACTTAAACAATCATTTTGCAAATGGTAGTAAAACGTGTTGATCACAAATGAATCATTATTGAATCATTACCGGTAGGGAGGCTTTCTCCTCGGCGGCGGTTCCCCCATTGGGGGGCACATGTCCGGCTTTGGCAACTAGCCCCGCCGGTACGCGCACGGTGAGGCAGTTTGTTGCTGATGGTGACGGATGAGTCGCGGGGCCCTTCAGGCCGCACGGAGCACCTTTCACCAGCACACCATCTTCTCCACACACACTCAATATGCTCGCCAAACGTCACTGATTCCGCGCTCCGACGGCCCGCGACACACGCTCGAAATCCGCTTACGAATCCAAAGAAATCGCCGAAAATTTCGTTGATTTTTCGCTCGCCGTCAAAATGCTCCGCACGCAATGGTCAAAACCATCATTTATCCTTAGCACCTAGCTCCTGCGACCATTTCTCAGCGCGTCGCACATTAATGCGTTTTTAAACACTCCATCAATAAAATCCAGTCACGTTGTGAATACACAAACTCTTCCACGGCGGTAATTTCCCAAATGTTGCACGCACAGCATCAATGATTTGGCACGTTCGAAGGATTCATCTGCGCGAGGCTACAGCCTCAAAAAATGTGATTGAGCTTCGATGATTGTTCAAACAAAGTAAACTTTTAATTTTAATGCTCGTTATAGGAAGTGGCGGAGTTGTAGAGTTGTTGAGATTTGTACGTTGCGCTTGAAGGTAAGTATGTGTAAGTATATTCCGTTTGGGTCACTTGGCGGAAGAAGTTATGGTTGTGGGTTGCACTACTAATCGTCTCAGACGCTGCGTGAATTACATAACCCGTTGATGGTCCAGGTGTACACACGATGTCGTCTTGGACGATTTGGAAGTATAGTCTATTTGATGCGGTTTGGGTTGAGTATTTTCTTGAATTTTCTTCTTTTTGGTATTGTGCACGCGTGTGTATTTTTGGTGTGAATCAGCTGAGCAAACCGACGCTAGGGGAGGTTAAGCGGCACTACTAGAACGACGCCGCTATCGAGCGACGTCGAGACAAGAGCGCACGAGCAGCGCGCACTCTCCATCGCGACGGCTACCTGCTGCTCGCCGCCGCCGTTGAGCGCACGGGCGAGCAACACGCGCTCGCGCTCCGTCACGCCGCCGCCTCCTCTTTCTGCAATTGCGCGCTGTTTATATCGCGGAAATATTGATAATTTGTGCGTTAATTCGGAATTGAATCCAAAGTACCACGATACCGCACTGTCGAGTCAAGCTATTTTTAGCGTTAGAATTGTTTTAGTGCTATTTTTATAGGCGTGATTTATTTCTCAAACCTGCTACAGTATACTATTCTCTGCTGCAATCTATTCAAATGATGAGCTAAATTCTAAAGCAAACTGTTTTGTTCAAAAGATGTGTTAAAAGTTGAAAAGATTTATTCTGGGAGGTTTTTATAGACAGATTTAGATAGTTATATACAGGATGCGGCAAAATATTTAAGATAAAAGTAAAAAAATTCAAAACACAAATATAGTTTTTTAATTTATGACCAGTTTGATGATTATTTTAACGAAAAAAAACTGAAAAACTTCAAAAAATCGCGAAAAAGAACAAAAAACGCAACAATGACGTCACTTCCTGGATCATAATCCAATCAAGTGAGAAGAAAGAAGTCAACCACGTGTAATTCATCTGTTTTTAACGTTTGACCAACAATTTTTGATAAAATATTAAATTCACTGTAATTAACTTATATTTCTTAATATTATTGGACAGTTTTTCAAAATTTACGTTTAAAAATAGAAAAAAATCATTTTAAAAATACGCAATTCGGGCATAAAATAAATAAAAGCAATAAAAACAACTCCACAACCACATTTTAGCAATAAACACAAGCAAGAAGCACTAAACTTGATAAAATTTCAAATGTGTAAAATATTTAAAACACATGTGAAAACAAAATTGCCCAAAATTCAGAAAAAAATCAAAAATATTCTAAAAATGATGATTATTCAACAAAAGTTTTATTAAATTCATTGAAAACCAACAAGTTCAGTTTGATAAACACAATTTTGTAATAAAATTCCGTAAACAAGTTTAATTATAAAATTTATTATTTTTATTCCATGCGCTGAGTAAACCACAGCGCTATATTTAGCGCTTCCTACTCAAAAGCACATTTATCATAGTTTTTCACTCATCAAAAACACATTTTTGCATCCTTTTTTTTTTCAACTCTGCGCTTCCCGTTGTAGTCTCGTATTCCCATCTGCCATTGCATTCTCAGTAGTTACATAAATAATTACATCATCCCGAAAATGATTCGCATGCAAGTAACATGCTGTAATTTTAGTTCAACATGAGTAACCAGACATGAATGGTCCGCCATGACTCACGAGAAAGTCAACTCGCGTTAAATACAAAAATTGAAAAGTACGCACGCAGGATTCTGGTATTTTTAGCCGACGGCAGCCGAGACTGTCATGACAATTAGCGAGAATATGCGATTATGAATTGCTCCAAAAACTAAGTTCTTTGGTTTTTGATTTTGCGGAAATTGCGAAAACATTTTCAGACGCTTATGATTCTGCTGAGGCATGCTGAAACTTTCACCTTTATCGCAATCAGCGGCGTTTCGCTCACGCTGCAATAATGCGTAAACATCGAACAGACGAGCTTTGCCATAGTTATGCCACAATACACAATACATACACCACTGAACATGGCAGGTTGAAATTGGAAAACTACTCTATAGGCAACCAAAGTTGCACGAATGTCTCAAAATTATTACTTTGCCATCAAAAATTGAAATAAAAACGTAAAAAATGCGTTTATCTATAAAAAATATATTTTAACGTGTTAGGCAATATTTTATTATTATATAATAATATTTTAGTTGTGTTAGTTCAAACCGCAGTAGAGCAGATGGCAATGAAAGCATCTCAGCCCGGCGCCTTCACCACCACACCAGTGGGATGCAAGGCGTCATATTAGAGACGCTCAGCAGGACTTCTGTCAATTAGTTGTGAATGTATCACGTATCGCAAACGTTGATATGTTCATATACGTTTATCTACATATACAGAATGTCTCCGCATGGATTTAAACCAAAAATCAATCAGAAAAAGATTTGTTTTTTGACAGGCGTTTGATTGTGCGTGATTTTTTGAATTTTATATTGCTTGGTGTCGTATTTCACGCGTCGCGCGACAAAGGGTATATTATCTTACGCTCTGCGCCTCCATATTGAAGGTAACGAACTAAGATTGTCTTGATATTGCTGGCGCGCGCAGTGTTGTACGGCCATAAATTGCGCGTATATTGTGTATCATTGTGCTGGTGCTGCGGGCGCAAAGTCGACGCGCATTATGTAACGGAGCGGCGTTGTCGCCGAAGCGAAATGTCTCCTAAATTACCTAGTCGCTGATTTAATCCGCAATAAGATATGACAATTTATTAACTTTTGCTGTCGGCTGTTATCCTGCTTATTCAATCTTCATATATGTGTGACGAGAAGCATCTCTAGGTAACAGATAAATTACAAAATTCTATGTAGGAAGAAGAAATCGGGAAATATTGGTATTTTACGTGGAATGGCATCTATCAAATCGTTTGTAAGCTGCTTATGAACTCTATTAAAACTCTATTATAAACTCTATTACTCTAGTAAAAATGCCGATAAACATTTCCTGAAGTCAATGTTTAAATGATTTTTAATAACTGCTTGTGCACTCCAACAAATTCGCTGAAAAATCGTGCTTAAGTTATAGAAATTTGCATTGCAATTTGTAGGGATGTTGGGATAATAATTACTACAATATTTCAATTGTTAGCATAATTGCTAGAAATAAAAATATTTCTTGTCGTTACACTGAAGAAATTAATAAAAACCAACCTAGTTGTATACATTTCGCTATCCAAAGTTTTTATAACGTCAAAACGAGGCTGAATATTTAATATTTGTGTTTGTATCTGCAGTTTAGAATACTGTATTGTATTTGTTATTGTTTTCCATGCCGAGATAAGATATGTGTTTCACAAATTTAATGTAAATAAGTGCATTGCAGTGACATTTCGCTTCAATCTATAGATTTATCTACATAAATAACGAATATTCCAATGATTTTAAAAGTATTTTTGATGTGAATATCAAATCAACACTTATTTAAGAAAGCAATACGGGTCATTTTACCGCAGCGCATGTATTTCTCTCAGCAGGTAAATAATACAGTCTTATTGATAGTAACAAACAACGTGACTTATCGCACAGCCAATCCGCTACTGCCACAGCGTAACTTCACACCGACACGACTTTCCCCACTGAACTCCGCATATCTTCTCTACTACAACCAAACCATACTAAGCAACTTGACTCAAGCAAGCAAAATAGAATTTAATGTCAAGAACTGCATACTAGCGACATCTGTGGTTTCATAATATATCTATGATTAATTCCTCATGCGTTTATGCTATTATCTCATATTTTTAACTGGTTTTTATTCATTTTTACATTTTAACAACAAAACAATCATATTCTTCAAAATTCAATGTATAACTACATAACAAAAACGACGTAATATGTTGATGTGCTTAAATATGAAGAAACAAATTTTACTTTTTGTTAAATTGAAACTGAAATAATTCAAAAATAATACTTTTGTTTACTATTTCGTCACTTTTCTGATTGTTTGAAGAAGAAAGTCATTAGCATATCAACTTCACAATAATTTAGCGTTACATTTTCAGTTTGTGTTCATCCGCCGGCTACTTGTGTGTTGGTAGGGTGTGAATCCTGTAGGGATGCCGGGAGTGCACTCGCTCTGCGCCGGCCGAAACCAGCCGCTGCATTAGGAAGCACTTTCCGCGTGCCTAAATGAATGTTGTCGGAGTTTCCAATAGGAATTTACATATTCAAATGTTGTGGGCCTTTGCAATTACGCTCATAATTGAAATACTACAAAAGAGACAAGTCGAACGGCAACGGTGGCGTTGTTGCGGGCGTGAGTTCGGCAATTCGGCGCTTCATGAAAGGCAGAGGAATGCTATGACTAACGGTTTTATAATTGCCGACTATGCTTCTTTTTGCTACAAAATTTCTATTGTTCTGGATATAATTAGTAAATGTCAATGATGATATAAGTATTTTTGCAGAAAATGTAAGTTTAATTGGTCAAATATTAAATTTTGTTTTAAAACTTGCATTAAAACACTTTGTATTGATCATTAATTATTAATCTTGCAATTAGTAACAATATAAATGCTTGTTTTGAATATTAAACTCAAATTCGTTAAATAAATAAATAATTTTTGTAATTTTCAAATTAAAACAAAGAAAAGGTTAAGCCAAGGTCATTTTGAGACAAGTTTAAGTTCTGAATAAGAAAAACACAAGTAACTAAAACTAATCTTCACACGCAAAACTTTTTTCGGCACTTTTTAAGCCACTATATACTTTGATTGTGTGTGAAACTTTTTTGCAACAACTAAACTTATCGTAATTAAAATTACCTAATTTTTTCATATTCCTACAAATAAATTATAAGTAAATAACACTGATATTCCTACGCTTGAAAATATTTACAAATGATTTAACATTTTCCCCGTTTTAAAGTGGTAAGATTTGCAGAAATGGAAAAATAACACAACGATATTCCCGAAAAAAATATCCCGAGTTTTCCGCGCGCCGGAAAAATGTCAATAATTATTGTGTAGGTACTAGAAATTGGCGAAAATTGTTAAATTATACGTGAATCGTTATCGCTGCACAGCGAAACTTACGCATCGTTGGCTCGATTTTACAAATACTTGTAATGCAATGAAATGCACAGCCCGATTCCCAACGAGTGTTATTGATTTCTACAAACAATGACAGATAGAATTCGAATGCGTAGATATATCATTCAAATCACAAATATTTATTACATAAAAACTATTGCCACAGTGAGATAAATTAACATTTCGTCCAAGTTGCAATTGAAAAATATGAAAACGTGTTGATTTATGCGCGTTGCCAACGTTGTTACTGGAGAATGATTTGAGGCGAAGCCGGTGTCGCGGCGCGCATCGAAGAGATTGAGAA